GATGTTATTCTGGGCATGGACTGGTTGTCGCCCCATTATGCTATTCTTGATTATCACGCGAAAACCGTGACGCTGGCTATGCCAGGTGTACCGCGAGTAGAGTGGAGGGGTACTTTAGATCATACTTCCAGTAGAGTTATTTCATTCCTTAAGGCTCAGTGTATGGTTGAGAAGGGGTGTGACGCGTATCTAGCTTATGTGAGAGATGGCAGTATTGATACCCCTACAGTTGATTCAGTCCCAGTAGTATGGGATTTCTCTGATGTGTTTCCAGCTGAACTTCCGGGCATGCCGCCCGATAGAGATATTGATTTTGGCATTGATCTGTTGCTGGGCACTCAACCCATTTCTATTCCTCCGTACCGAATGGCTCCTCCTAAGTTGAAGGAGTTGAAGGAGCAGTTACAGGAATTGCTTGATAATGGTTTCATTCGGCCCAGTGTATTACCTTAGGGTGCTCCTGTCTTATTTGTGAAGAAGAAGGATGGTTCTATGCATATGTGTATTGATTATCGCAGTTGAACAAGGTTATAGTGAAGAACCGTTATTTTTTGCCCCGTATTGATGTCCTGTTTGATCAGTTACAGGGTGCTTGTGTCTTTTCTAAGATTGACTTGCATTCAGGCTATCATCAGTTGAAGATTCGGGAGCCAGATATCCCGAGACTGCCTTCAGGTCTCGGTATGGTCATTACAAGTTCCTTGTTATGTCATTTGGGCTGACCAATGCCCAGCAGCCTTCATGCATTTGATGCACAATGTATTCCGGCCATATCTTGACCCATTCGTCATTGTCTTTATTGATGACATCCTGGTATATTCCCGGAGTCGGGAAGATCATGAGCAGCACCTGAGGACAATGCTCCAAACTTTGAAGGAGAAGAAATTATATGCTAAGTTCTCGAAATGTGAGTTTTGGTTGGATTCCGTGGCATTCTTGGGTCACGTGGTATCTAGTGAGGGAATAAAGGTGGATCTGAAGAAAGTGGAAGCAGCGCAGAGTTGGCCCAGACCATCCTCAGCTACAGAGATCCGCAATTTTCTTGGCTTGGTGGGTTATTACCGTCGATTTGTTCAGGGTTTTCATCTATTGCAGCACCTATGACCAGGCTGACCCAGAAGGGTGCTCCATTCCAGTGGACGGAAGAGTGTGAGGAGAGCTTTCAGAAGCTCAAGACAGCTTTGACTATAGCCCCAGTTTTGATATTGCCTACCACTTCGAGGTCTTATACTGTCCATTGTGATGCCTCGAGGGTTGGCCTTGGAGCAGTATTGATGCAGGATGGTAGGGTGATTGCCTACGCATCCAGAAAGTTGAAGGTACATGAGAAGAATTATCCTGTCCATAATCTCGAGTTAGCTGCTATTGTTGATGCCTTGAAGATCTGGCGTCACTATTTGTACAGTGTGCCTTGTGAGATTTATACTGATCACCGGAGTCTGCAGCATCTGTTCAAGCAGAAGGACCTTAATTTGCATCAGAGGAGATGGCTAGAGCTGCTGAAGGACTATGATATCACTATTTTGTATCACCCAGGCAAGGCCAATGTGGTGGCCGATGCTTTGAGCCGCCGGGCAGAGAGTTTGGGGAGTTTAGCTTATTTACCAGCAGCAGAGAGGCCCATGGCGATGGATGTTCAAGCCTTAGAAAGCCAGTTTGTGAGATTGGATCTTTCGGAGCCCAGTCGGGTTCTAGCTTGCGTGGTCTCTCGGTCTTCCTTGTTTGATCGTATCCGGGAACGTCAGTTTGATGACCCTCATTTGCTTGTCCTCAAGGACAAGGTTTTGTATGGCGATGCCAGAGATGTGACTATTGGTGATGACGAGGTATTGAGGATGCAGGGTCGAGTTTGTGTACCCAATGTTGATGGGCTTCGGGAGTTGATTCTAGAGGAGGCCCATAGTTCGCGGTATTCCATTCATCCGAGTGCCATGAAGATGTACCAGGATTTGAGGCAGCACTATTGGTGGAGGCGGATGAAAAAAGATATAGTTGGGTTTGTAGCTCGGTGCCTCAATTCTCAGCAGGTGAAGTATGAGCACCAGAGACCGGGTGGGTTGCTTCAGCAAATAGAGATTTCGTAGTGGAAGTGGGAGCGGATCACCATGGACTTCGTAGTTGAGCTCCCACGGACCTTGAGGAAGTTCGATGCCATTTGGGTGATTGTGGATCGGCTGACCTAGTTCGCGCATTTCATTCCTGTGGGTACTACATATTCTTTGGAGAGGTTGGCAAAGATTTATATCCGGGAGATTGTCCGTCTGCATGGTATTCCAGTTTCCATCATTTCAGATAGAGGTACTCAGTTCACATCACGGTTCTGGAGGGCCGTACAACATGAGTTAGGTACTCGGGTGGAGTTGAGCACAGCATTTCACCCTCAGAGGACGGACAATCCGAGCGCACTATTCAGAGTCTTGAAGATATGCTTCGTGCGTGTGTGATTGAGTTTGGAGGGTCTTGGGATCAGTTCTTGCCATTGGCGGAGTTTGCCTACAACAACAGTTATCAGTCCAGCGTTCAGATGGCAGTGTATGAGGCTTTATATGGTAGGCGGTGTAGATCTTCGGTGGGTTGGTTCGAGCCGGGCGACGTTAGATTATTGGGCACAGACTTGGTACAGGATGCTTTGGGGAAGGTTAAGGTGATTCGGGATAAACTTTGCACAGCCCAGTCCAGACAGAAGAGTTATGCGGACCGGAAGGTTCGTGATGTTTCCTATATGGTTGGAGAGCGGGTTCTGCTTCGTGTTTCACCTATGAAGGGCGTTATGAGATTTGGGAAGAAAGGGAAGTTGAGTCCGAGGTTTATTGGCCCTTTTGAGATATTGAGGCGTGTTGGGAAGGTTGCTTATGAGCTTTCCTTACCTCCCAGCTTGGCAGGAGTTCATCCGGTATTTCATGTTTCGATGCTCCGGAGGTATCACTACGATCCGTCGCACGCCTTGGATTTCAGTTTAGTCCAGTTGGACAAGGATCTATCTAATGTTGAGGAGCCGGTGGCAATATTGGACAGGCAGGTTCGAAAGTTGAGGTCAAAGAACATTGCATTAGTGAAGGTTCAGTGGCAGGGTCAGCCGGTCGAGGAGGCAACCTGGGAGACCGAGCAGGATATGCGCAGCCGTTACCCTCATCTTTTTACTACTCCAGGTATGTCTCTATGCTCGTTCGAGGACGAATGAATGTTTAAGTGTGGGAGGATGTAACGACCAGGCCGGTCGTTTTAAGAATTAACGCCCTATCCCCTATTAACTGCATTCCCCGTGTTTGTTTCTGCTATAGTGAGTTGTCGGGAGGATTTATTTGGAGTTTCGGAGAGTTTTGGGACACTTAGTCCCTAAATGAGAGTTTAAGTTTAAGAATTTGGACCGTAGTCGGAACAATGTGAAGACGGCCTCGGAATGGAATTTCGTTCGTTCCGTTAGCTCCGTTGGGTGATTTCGGGTTTAGGGGCGTGTTCGGATTGTATTTTGGCGGTCCGTAGCCTATTTCGGCTTGAAATGCCGAAAGTTGAATTTTTGAAGTTTCCGGTTCGATAGTGAGATTTCAATCTAAGGGTCGGAATGGAATTCCGGAAGTTGGAGTAGCTCCGTAGTGTTGAATGTTATGTGCTTGCAAAATTTCAGGTAATTCGGACGAGGTTTGATAGGCTTTTTGATCGAAAGCGTATTTGAGAGTTTTTGGAGTTATTAGGGTTGAATCCGATGTTAAATTGGTGTTTTGATGTTGTTTTGAGCGTTCCGAAGGTTGGAACAAGTTTGAATGATGTTTTAGGATTGGTTGGCATGCTTAGTTGAGGTTCCGAGGGCCTTGGGTGAGTTTCGGGTGCTTAACGGAAGTTGAATTGGACTTAGGAAGAATTTGAGGTTGCTGAACCTGTCATAACCGCACCTGCGTGTGTGGGACCGCAGGTGCGGCGCCGCAGAAGTGGCTTGGTGATCGCAGAAGCGAGATTAGGCCAAGGCTCCAGGAACCGGAGGTGCGGCTGGGGGACCGCAAATGCGGAGCTGCAGATGCGGCCAAGCGACCGTAGATGCGGACCCAGCCCGTTAAGTGAATTTCGCACCTGCGATGCCTTTTCCGTAGGTGCGCTCCCATGACCGCAGATGCGGTAATAGCTGGGCAGATATATGAAATTTCGAGGGTTTGAGTTCATAACTTGGAAAATTAAATTTGGAGCTCGGGGTAGGGCGATTCTGTGGGGTTTTTGAAGAGAAGATCATTGGGTAACTATTCCTTATCCCTTTCTAGTTGTATTCCATTTGTTGACATCCATATTTGTCCCTCTTTTCTTCTAAATTATTTTCTTGGGCTTCTAATATCACTAATAATATAAGAATAACTATTTCACTATTTTTTATCTCAAAAATAACGTAATTAGTGTTAACATCCAATTTTGGCCATTTTCTTTCGAATTATCTCCCTTTGGCTTCATAATTATATAAATATTAACTTTTACTATATGAGAAATTACCATGTTTACCAAGTATTTTAAACATTGCTAATATTTACGTTACCAAAATCTTTGGAGTTTCAATTCAAACTATATTTCACCATTTTGTTAAATATTTGTTATACTACTTTACTTGTACTAAATATATTCAAGGTTAACTGTATTTTTACACTCATCCGTTACTTTTCAAAGGTACTATTACTTTATTAATTTTATTTTTTAATCATCTTATAAGCTAAACTCTCACTAAGCTACATGATATAATTTATTTTTACAATATTGCTTTAGCTTAATCATATTCTAAGCTTTTAATTTATTGATAGTTTATATTCTATGATTGTTGAAGTCCAAATAATGTATAAGGAAAGAAAGTGGGTTGTCCTCATTTTTGAGCGACAGAAGCTCAAAGGGAGCTTTCCCTCATATAGCCCAATTCACCACCAACCTGCAATCAGCCCATTAGATACATCCAAATAATTTTTAGCCCAAGACTTATTCCACAAAGATTACATCAGCTAGGTATTTTGCCATCTTCTCAAAAAAAGAAACGCAGCCATCCCATCTTCCTTTCGCTTCTTCTCTCTCTTCCATTTTTATGCAAGGTCAAGTTTTACTTTAGCCAAGGACAAACTTTGCCCTTCCATTTTTTAGCAAGTTCATTGTCTCTCCTTTTCTTCAACGATTTAGTCAACAAAAGATACCAAAGAACTTTTTTTTTAATTCTGATTTTTGTGCAGAAAATCACTAGAGCAGAGATTCAAACAACTTTTTTTTAATCCAAGATCGGCCCGTGACCCTCCTCTGCCAAAGGATTTTGAATTTTAAAATCAGGAACATGAACCCTAGATCAATACTTTTCACCTATAAATACATCCTAAAGTTTCAGCCAAGATCCATCGGAAAATCCCTTCTAAAAATCAATTTTTACCACCTAAAAGGTATCTCCGAGCTAATTCAAAAAGGAATAGATCTGAAGCCTTGCAAGCCCCAAGTTCACTGCCTCGCGGAAGGTAAAACCCCAATTTCATTCTATCAATAACATATACGTATATTTTATTATAGTAGAGATTATGTGTTAAGTTTTCGTCCCTTTAATTGTGTTGAAATTTATGCAAATTCTGTGGAGAATCGCTTTTCTTGTTATGGCTCCAGTTACAAAACTTGGTTGTAGAGTAGTACTATTTCTTTAAAGTTCATTGTCATGTTAATTAAAATTACTTGGTTGTAAGTTATTGATCCTGTGATAAAAAATCTGTTAAGAAGCATGACTAATGGCTAATGTTTTTTTAAAAAAAAAAAACAAAGAACAAAAAAAAAAAAAAACAACTTAGGTCCTTAGATACCATGTTGTAAGAAAATCTTGTTGCCAATAAGTTCTACTGCAAATCTTTGGTGTATTAATGTGTATTCATCTGTTTAGAAACTTGGTTAACACATTTGGCATTTTATTATTCGAAAATAAATGTCCAAAAGTCCTTGTTTATTTCACATGTCTAACTTGTTTCCTCTTAAATTTGGGTGTATACTTGCTGACATTGTTTATACAAAAGTATGTCATTATAGAAACTACAATTTTCTTTTAAGAATATAGTACTACTTAAGAATCTACAATTTGCTTTTAAGAATATAGTACTACTTAAGAATCTATAAGTACATGCTATAAACCCTGCTTTAAGTCTCTTTCATTCATGAATTAGTATGATAAGGGAACTATGAGTATAGGAAGTCTTTTATTTTGTTCCATATAAGTTGAACGGGATATTTGTATAAAATGTCGCTGCTATAGATATTTAATTTACTAATAAGTTCAATTATTAGTTTAGGAGCCATGTCGTAAGATCATTCTTTCACACTCGAAATGCCATGTACGTAGTTTATCCCTTCACGTTGTAATGACTATGTTTAAAGGTACTTGTCAAAATATTGCTTGAAGTTCTATTGAGCTTTAGATATATGCACGTTTCATGACTTGTTTAAATCCCTTATGTTTAAATTAATATGTCTTGTAAGTTTGTGTCATTTTTATATATTTCCTTTACTTTTTCATTGTTTAAAGATTATTAACTTGAATAATAGAATATTAATGTCGTTTAGCAGATTCTCACGTTAGTTTTTTTTTTGTCCTTTGAGTATTTCCTATTGTCTGAAAAGAGACATAATTAAATCTTTTTTTAAAAAAAAATTATTTTAAAACTACACTATGCATATTGATTAAAGAAAATTTCTTCTGTATAAGATTGATGAGGTTGCTCCTCTTTAAATTTAGCAAATCATTAAAGATTCATCTTGTTAAAATATCACACGCAGGATGACTTGTTTAAATTCTTTATGTTTTAAATTAATATGTCTTGTAAGTTTGCTTCATTTTTATATACTTGTAAAAATTGAATTTCCTATTTTTTCTTCTAATTCTTATTACCTTTACCTTTGCATGTACACTTCGGAGCGACATGGAGTCTTAATGCAAGACTCTTCCTACCCGCATAAGAGTTATCACAAACTATCCTCTTTAATCGCATTGGACAAGAAGAAAACAAGCAAATTTGCTTGGGGTCGCCTATGGCGGTTTTCATTATTCTTTACTTACTTTGTCTAAATTTTTGTTAGTTCATGTGATTTGATTTGGTTTGGAATTCGTTTTATTATTGAGGATTAATTTTATCGTGTAAATTTATAACTGTGATTTTGGCCAAATATCTTACTAATCAAGAACTTCTAGGAGTTTAATCACCTAGAATAGTGGTACATTTTTTTGGGACTTAAAAAAGGGGCAACAAAACTTTTCTGGAAAGCGTAGCTTTTGAATTGAGCTTTGCAGATTTTTTTTTATTCTTTAAATTAACACTTTCAACAATTTTCTTGACCTTAGTAAAATTTGATGACAAACAAAAACAATTTCCCTTTTCTTGCGGTTAGTGACGGCTATTTTCTTTTAAAAAAAACCGGCAGTTTGCTTCCAAATCCATATATTTACATATTAATTAGCTTTTAACTTCTTTTTTTCTTTACTTGATAATATTTTCAAGTTTAAACTATTCAATTATAAGTTATTGTCTTGTAAGACCTTAAATATTTTCGATAATTTATTTAACACTTATTAATCTAAGTTTGGCCGGTTAACCGTATTAACGGATTTTAAAGGGTGCTTGAAAAACCTTCCTTTTTAAAATATTTAAAACCCTTACTTAGAATCTTTAGGTGAAGACCATAAGACAGAGTTTGACTTAAGCTTTAAAAATAGGTATCCTAATTCACCTTAGAATTAATTAGGTGGCGACTCTCTTAAAATTAATTAAACCTCAGAATCACTAATATGTTATACTCTAATTTGACCCGGTTTAAATGGGGTATAACAGCTTGGCGACTCTGCTGGGGATTTTAGGTTTTAAACCATAACAAACTTAGGTTAATAAAAATGGCATTTGTATTTTGTGAATGTTTTTGTTTGTTGCCTTATTTGAAAATGTGCTACTTCTTGTAAAATATAATTGCTATCTTTTATAAGCTGTTATTCCGTTTTCACTTCCTCCACTTTTGGAAAATCACACTGAGCACACACCTAGCGGTTACGCGGTTTGCGGCCGTGCACTTTTTCAAAAAACTACCTTTTAGGGGAAAGTTTGTGGGTAAGTCGATCAGCGGTGCAATCGACAGTCACAGCTTTCCACTCTCAAGTTGTCCACTTGGGAAAAGACCAGTCTAGAAAACCCACTCTTAGCCGACCTAGGATAGAGCTAAACCAAATCCCTTCTTAGGGGCATGCATCACGCATCCTTAGGAGGCTTAATACCCTAGGTATATTAAGTCCATTAGTTAGCCTTATCCAAATGTCCAAGCGGGTTTATAACCCCGAGTGACACTTATTCATCCTTTATGTACATTTTTTGAAAGATAAACACACCGATTATGTGGACCACTTACTCCTAAATGTGGAAACGGGTAGGATTAATCTTTTCTGTGATGCAGGAAATTATGAATCAAGTTGTCTACCCAAAGATCGGCATGGTGTTGGACATCCCTCCCAAAC